AATCAATGTCAGAGGACCCAGGGTGGCTAACCCGGTAAGGTCGCTTCGATGCTTAAGTCAGTACTCTCATATTAGAATGCGAGCTAAAAATCACAAAGTATGAGAGCTAGAATATGTTTATTTGCGCCCCCTATGCCATTGGGGTTGGTGCCTTTATATAGGCATTGTTTGGCGTGGGCTTCACGCATCGCATCCGAGATTTCTGCGAGGTCGTCTAAGTGGTCCGAGATTCCTTGAGGCAACCGCCATGCACATTGACCACCCTTTGGATTGTTCGGCACGTGAGCCAACTTCCAAGGGTCGTAGGAGTGATAGGATATGCATGTCGAATTTGTTGGTGAGCAYGTCTCATAGGTCGCCAGGTCAGAGCCTGTGGCAGGCTGCCAGGTCGCGCCTAGGCCAGGCCGTCAGATYGGACACCACCAACTTGGCTAAGGCAACTTGTTGCCTAAGTGGTTCTGGGTGTCATCTAGTTATTCCAATGTGCCATGTGTCACAATATCATTGGAGGGCCAAATCTGCCCTCATCATTCTCACTTGTTGTCGCTGCTCCATAAGTGACCGAAGTTAATAGTTTTTTCATCCATTGAAACGGTAAGGAGTTAAAGAGGGTAAATTGCACCATTTTTCTTTTACATAGGGTTTGTTCTTCTACATTTTTAATTTCTATTAATCCCTCTATTACGTTCTCACCACTTGTAAAATGAATTCTGTGATTTGTTTTGTATTGCAAATGATTATTTCACTGAATTAGTGTTTGTCAATTGCCATTCTCATCATTTTGCTAGATAAATTGCCGAATGGAGGAATGTTGTTTCTATTGATTTTAAATTATAATTAACACCACTACGTTCTTTAGGGTTTTATTAATTTTGTTAAAGAGGCTTTCATTCATTTTCATTTTCTAAGCAAAATTTTGTTTGAAAATTCTTGAGATACAAACCCCTGCAATTACTTTTTTTTTTCTTATAGTTATTCTTTTGCATGTCTTCTTCTGATAATGTTTTTCTGATGAATCAATTTTTTGTGAAGTGTCAATTTTTTGTGCCAAGTACCTCGTCATTTGGTATGCTTCCAAGTGGCCGATGACTCAGAGGCCGAAGTGGAGAACTTTTGCTGGATGACCTGGATGCCGAGTTGACTAGGCCGAACTGAGGGCAGATTAGGTGCCGAGTTAACTGTGCCGAGCTGGGTAGGTTAGGTGCCATACTCACTGGTCCGACCTAGGCAGGTTAGGTGACGAGCTGATTGGGCCGAGATAGGCAGGTTAGGTGACGTGCTGACCAAAGTGTCGAGCAGCCTATTAGGTGTCGAGCTAACTAGAGGGCCGAGCTGCCTATTAGGTGCCTAGCTGATCAGAGTGCCGAGCTGGATTGATTGTTGAGTTTCGTAGTTCTTTAGAGACCTGCAAGTCTCTCATATTAGATTGTGAGCTAAATCTGCCCTCATCATTCTCACTTGTTGCCGCTGCTCCACCAAGTGACCGAAGTTAATATTTTTTTCATCCATTGAAACGGAAAGGAGTTAAAGAGGGTAAATCGTACCATTTTTCTTTTTCATAGGGTTTCTTCTTCTACATTTATAATTGCTATTAATCACTTTCTTACGTTCTCACCACAGTGTTTGTCAATTTCCATTCTCGTTATTTTGCTAGATAAATTGGCGAATGGAGGGATGTTGTTTCTATTGATTTTTAAATTATAATTAACACCATTACGTTCTTTAGGGTTTTATCAATTTTGTTAAAGAGGTCTACATTCATTTTCATATTCTGAGCAAAATTTGTTAAAGAGGTCTACATTCATTTAGGATTTTATTAATTTTGTTAAAGAGGTCTACTTACGTTTGTTTGTTATTATAATTTATATTTTTATCTGATACAAAATTTGTGCCAGGTTCAATTCTTTCCCATGTAAAAATATTGGGGYTACATCTCCTGCCATACTCCTATAACTCTCCTATTTCATAGAATCAATGTTTGTCAATTGCCGTTCTGGTCATCTTTTTAGATAAATTGCCGAATGGAGGGAAGTTGTTTCTATTGATTTTAAATTATAATTAACACCATTACGTTGTTTAGGGTTTTATTAATTTTGTTAAAGAGGTCTACATTCATTTTCATATTCTGAGCAAAATTTTGTTTGAAAATTCTTGAGATACAAACCCATGCAATTACTTTTATTTTTTTTTCTTGTAGTTATTCTTTTGCATGTCTTCTTCTCATAAAGTATTCCTGATTTGTTACCATATTGCAATAGAATTAGAAATTGTCTTCTCGTTTCGTGGATTATCACTGTTATCTATAATGGAATAGATCGTCAGAAATCATTGTGGTTCCCCCACCAAAATATTTTTGCTTTGTTAGTCCCCATGGTCCTCTCTGCTTGACGTTTAATAGTTGTCAATCCCAAAGAAAAGTTACATGAACATCAAGGGAAAGTAAAACTTTTCAGGCCTTAACCTCAAATGGGTTGCCTCAATGTGTCGAACAGACATTAAATTGGGGTCCCGGTTCATGTTCCAAACTTCAAATTTTGGTTGCATTAAGTTTCAGTTCTACCCATAATTTCGCTGCATGTATGAGGGCATATACAAGGATCAACCATTAATTTTAGTTCTAGGCTTTGTTATCTTGAGAGAGTGTTGTTTGTGGAAAATATAAAGGTTTAAACTTTGCACAACGACTATTTATTGTTGTTGTCATCTTGAGAGATTTTATAGCTGGATCATCTGCAGGTAAGGTTTTATCTTCTGCTGACCTACTGGCTAAAATTTGAGAAACCAAGAAAAAGCAATCGGTGATGGTTTGAAAACATCAATTTGGTTTTTGGTCTTTGGTTATAGTAACAACACATCTGGTCGGTAGTGGGCCTTCTAGTTCTAGACCATCTAGAAAGCTTGCTGCAGTGCAACCTGAGATATCGATATGCTAGATATGTACATTTATACAACAAAGAGTTAAATGGCTCATTTGCTATTATTTTCACCATTGCACCTGCTTATTTTGAAACATTGAACATAGACACTCTTAGTTTCACTTCTGTATTGAGCCTTAAAGAAAGCTTTGGTCTTCGATGGCCTAGGGTTTTAGGAAACCAAGGGGCATCTCTGACTATAAAAGGGTATTATGGGCATTTACGAGATAAATAAAGAATTACTTCCTTCTCAACCAATCAACCAAACACCATGCACACCAATCCAGCTGACCTCTAACGGTTGAAGACCAAGAGTCGCACTATGCGCATTGATCCGACCGACCTCCAATGGCTGAGGACCTAGGACCACACATCACAGATCGGCCCATGGCGGAGGACCTAGGATCACATCACTCACATACCGATAAGGGTGTCAATGGACCGGTTTTTAATTGGATCCCGCCTAGTCCAAAATTAATTTGGACGGACCAACAAAACATATTGGATTGGACCAATCTGGTCCAAAATATTTATTAGATTGAATTGGATTGGTTCGTCCGTAACAAATTTATATTGGATTGGGTTGGATTAAGCCAATATCTGGTCCATCGATATAAGATAAGAATATATGTGTCAATGAACCGTGTTTGCGTTGAAATCAATCTAAACCTAAATGAATTTGAATAGATTGGATGGTCCAAACATTGAATTGGACTGGTCCAAAACATTCATTGGATTGGATTGGATTGGACTTGGTCCATTTATAATGAACTCACATTGGACTGGATTGGATTGGACCAAATCTAGTCCTAATTGACACCCCTACAATAGAGGGTGGCTACTGAAAAGACTCCCGAGCACTTACTCGTCTTGAGGTCGGGACAAAACTGGCCGAAGACCACAACTAGCCCGATTGAAGAGCGTAATCTCTACAAGACCAAGTGCCACTAAACTCCCCACTGTGACGACTGAGAGCTCGGAAACACCGAACTCACTAGGGATGACAATTTTTCCTATTTCCCCAATCCCGACAAGGACTTGCCTCAAATGGAATGGGAATAGAGATGAGATGCTTTTTCCCATATAGGGCAAGGATTAAAATATCGATACCAAGTAATATATCGGTCAATTTGGATATAAATACACAAACATTAATGATTTGATACACTTAAAAAATGCATATAAATTAAATAAATACATTAATACCATTAAATCTATAACCGAAATATCTAAGAATAACATATAAACACATAAAAATTTCATACTTTAACCTACTAAACCACCTAGACCTGGACCCAAAATCCATAATATGAAAAAAAAAAAACATTCATTTTCTTTTGAAGTTATCTCTTTAGATTATACATTTATACTCAGAAAGCAAATGGTAAAATCATTGATAACTCTGATTCTTCTCATAGTTACTTGAAAGTTCGGATCCATTAAATGGTGGATTCGGGACTTGTATTCATGGAAAAGTATTCTGGGTCCCAATCCAATGGTTCTCCTCGCTTAAGGATAACAAAACCCAAGTACATCCCTTGGATTTAACGTCCTACTCCGTGTCCTTTGTCATTTTCTGACCTGATGCCCTGTACTTATAAATTATAATCATTCATCACAGAGAATATTCCTGTTTGGAGTTTGGATCACAAACGGTGGGTCCGGGTTTGGATCCTCCAACCCGTAGGGGCAGCAGATGCAACAGAGTCCGTCAGACGACTCTGACCGTGCAGGGGTTTTATATCGTAGTTACGATCTATGAAACTTATAGTCCGAATCGTCCGAACTAATTCGGATTTACTCCCAACACGAATTTCACCAATGGTTCCAACACCATTGCAGCCGTGTCATGGCGAGATGTTCCCGATGCATAGYTGATATGGTTGTAGGGACAATGTGTTGGGATGTTAAGTGGGGACCAGATCCGGACTTCCACCTTAGTTCTTAGCGGCTTAGCGCCCGTGCCGCTCCTGCTGCATACTCCAACAGTCCAACGATTCAAAAAATTTGGATTTTATGGAAAATAAGTTAAGAAATAAATAAATATAAATAATTGAATCGTTTCGATGATTCAATTCAAATTCTTGCCCTCGTCCCACATAACGGCTACATTTCTCTCTCCTCCTTCCGCCCCCTCTTTCTCTCCCCTTCTCACTCTTCTGTCTTAACCAAGATTTCTCTCTCTTCTTTCTCTCCCTCTTCCTCTCTGTAGATCTCTAGATCTCTGCAAAAGATGAAGCACTTCATGCTACCAAAGAGTGGAGTCTTGAGGGCGAACCCATCCTCTGAAACTCCGTCTTCTCCAAACCCTTATTCGCAGAAGCAGAGACCTTCTCGGAGGCAAAAGGAGAACGCTCCACCTGCAGATCCAAATGCATTACCAGATTCTGCTTCCCCTTCACTTTCGGGGAAGTCGGCATCCGCTTCCGGAAAGATCAGAAGCCCTCTTCCGCCTAGACCTCCTTCTTCGAACCCTAACCCTCTTAAAAGGAAGCTCAGCATGGAAACCGTTCCGGAAAATAGTGTTCCGTTGTCATCTGACTCTGGAGTGAAGGTATGTCTCTTTTCCAGCTTTGCTGTTAGTGAGGATCTTGAAGTCGGAAGGCTTGGTGGTCTTGTTTTTGCCTTTTTTTTTGTTTTTGAATTTAGGGTTCTTTACTGCGCTATTACAAGAACTAATTTTGACACTCATTTATTTGAATTATTGCAATTATTTTGCACTAATCAGGTAATTGTACGAGTGAGGCCTCCGAACAAGGACGAGGAAGAGGGAGAAATGATAGTACAGAAAGTCTCCGGTGAATCCTTGTCAATTCTTGGACAGACCTTCACATTTGATTCTGTTGCAGAATCAGATGCGACACAGGTGAGAATGATTGGAACTGTACCTCTCCTGTAAATTATGATATTTGAGATAAAGAGTTTAGCTTGGTTTTAGAGAATATGCTGTTGGAATAATTGTTTGTTAATAAAGTCCTACCTGTAATTTATTTATTTTTTTCAGGAAGATATATTCCAGCTTGTGGGTACCCCCCTTGTGGAAAATTGTCTGGCCGGATTTAACAGTTCCATATTTGCATATGGACAGGTATATTATCAACTTGTAACTGCTTGATTTTTGTTCTGATTATCTTAAACCTTTTACTTGCAAGCAATCTAGTTCATGCATGAAGTGTGGCTAATTCTCATATTTATCTTAATCAAGACGGGTAGTGGAAAAACTTATACAATGTTGGGACCTGCCAATGCCTTGCTGCATGAAAATTTCCCAAGCATCCAAAAGGGGTTAACACCTCGAGTCTTAGAGCAACTATTTGCACGCATAAATGAGGTAATAATTTTTCTTTTTAATTTCTGACCATGTGGCATTACCACCATAGAGTGTCTCATATTTCCTTTTCCAGGAGCAAGTTAAGCATGCTGACAAGCAACTCAAGTATCAATGCCGGTGTTCTTTTCTTGAGGTAATGTATTGAGACTACTTCTGAACATATGCTTTGTCTATATTTGCTTTCTGCCGTTTTGTAATTCATGTAACTTCTATGGCAGATTTATAATGAACAAATCACTGATTTGTTGGACCCAAATCAAAAGAACCTCCAGGTAAAAGAGTGTTCTGTGAGAACATTTTGTCTATTACTTGTCCTGGTTTATTCTGTTAAACTGCTTTCCCAGTATGATTGGATTATCAATGTTATTTTATTTTATTTGTTTTGTATTCCAGATCAGGGAAGACGTCAAGTCTGGTGTTTATGTTGAAAACCTGACAGAGGAATATGTATCTACAATGAAGGATGTTAGTCAGCTTTTGATAAAGGTGAGCAATTTGGTTCTGGTGATATCAGACTTATAAATGGATCATGAATGCATATGCATGTCTATTTCCTGGAATTATTTCCAATGAATGTCACCAAGGGACAAGTTTGCCTGCAAAATATGCCCATACCCCTACTGCTATTCTGCTAGTTATACTTTCTTTCCCATAAGAATGCTTACTAGTGGAAACTTCTCTTTAGTTTTCAGAATTTTATTGTATGTAAAACAATAAAAGAGGAGAAGTATCTGTAATCTATACTATATAAAGTGGGCACTGGCCTTGGGTTTCATGTATATCATAAAAATATCATACGTGGTTAATACTTACTTGTATACTCACACGGAACATGCTCTTACACTAGTATGTACAACATATTTTTGTGTTTTTTTTTGTTTACTGTAACTTGATTAAAAGTAGTTTTAGGACCTTTCTTTATCCTTTTGTTTTCCTGCCAAAGAGAGAAATACCTTGTGCCAATCATCTTAGGAATGATTTTCAAATTCCAATTCTGATAGTTTTTCTCCTCTAATTGGACCAAGGAAAAAGGTTCATCCAATGGATCATGAGAAACAAAACACTATATAGGTGCTGCATCAAGGTGAACAATGGATTCATTAATTCTACAGTCAAACAGACATCTAAGCTTTTTGAGGTTAGTCAATTCAAACAAGAGGACATTCTGAGTAGAAATCCTTTCTTCACAGGGGTGTTACCCAGGAGTATAGAAGATAACACCAGGTACATGCTTATCAAGATATATTGAGGAGAGGGAAGCTGAAGGATATGGCTCTTGCTGGTTGAGGTCTTCCTTCCCGATGGAAAATAACCCTTTTGATTGATTGGTGTCAAAGTCTCCTTACTGCGCCAACCTGATGGGAAATAACCCTTTTGATTATTTGGGGAGGGGGCCTAGAAACTTGAGGGAGACTAAGAATAGAAGCTGCAGTCAGACATTGTAAAAAGGACCAGCAGCCGCTTTCTAGAGTTGTTTTATTAGCATGTCCTTGGGGATATATCTTTCCTGGCTGTGATGAGTGTTATTTTTTTTCCACCTCTGCACACTAGTCCAATCCATTGAAAAAATTCAGTTCATAGACTCCAAAAGTGTTGGATTGAAAGATCATCAATTGAAATTAACTTATGATCTTTCCAGCCTCTAATACTGTTTTTTAAGAGGTGATAGGACTGTTTAGATAAAAAAAGAAGGTCAACATATTGAAAGCTTTTATCCACTTCACCTATTTTACATGCAATCCATTGCTTTAACTGAATTATATGCTATGTTTACTATTTTATCAGAATTGACTGAATATGCACAAAAGGCATGTCACTAGGTCTCTTTCTCTAGGTTGTCTTGGCATTTGAAACATGAGCACTCTTTAATGGCATGGGTTGTGTTCAATGTCTTTCGAATGAGTGAAATTTATCCAAATATAATAATGCTTACCACGCATTTTGGTACAGGGAATATCAAACAGGAGAACAGGTGCAACGAGTATTAATGCAGAGAGCTCCCGTTCACATAGTGTATTTACTTGCGTTGTTGAATCACGATGCAAGGTTAGTTCAATCTCCATTCTCTTATTCTAAAAATAGAATATTTGAATCATCTAGTGTTAGTTTTCAGATCCAAGAGTTAACTTCATTAGTTCTCAGTATATTATTAGTATGGATTTATGAAGTTCGATGCATAAGCATTGACTCTATTTTTGTTTCTGTTAAAAACTATGTTACACTGAATCTAACATAAGGTTCTTCTTTACAGAGCATGTCAGATGGTGTGAGCAGCTTCAGGACAAGTAGAATAAATCTTGTTGATCTCGCTGGATCAGAAAGACAGAAGCTAACAGGTGCAGCAGGTGAACGCTTGAAAGAAGCAGGGAATATTAATCGATCTCTGTCACAGCTGGGGTATGATATATTACTCAGTACTCTTATCTTATATGGAAATCTTTTCTGCTCGAATCTTGCTCTAACTATATTACTTTACTTCGTTATTCAATGTTTGTATTGAAATTTTTATTACAACATAGCAGCTGTGTACTGATCTATGTTTCTGATTGGAATCTCAGGAACTTGATAAATATTCTTGCAGAAGTTTCACAAACAGGAAAACACAGACATATCCCTTATAGGGATTCTAGATTGACATTCTTACTTCAGGAATCTTTAGGTGGAAATGCAAAGCTTGCAATGATCTGTGCAATATCTCCTGCACAGAGGTAATCTTCAGATACTTGCCTGGATTCACACTATTTCTTTCTCTCTGGTGGTATTGGAAACTCATGTACATTGAAAATTCACAGCTGTAAGAGTGAAACACTTAGTACATTAAGGTTTGCACAGCGTGCAAAGGCCATTAAAAACAAGGCAGTCGTTAATGAAGTGATGCAAGATGATGTTAATTTCTTGAGAGAAGTGATACGCCAGCTGAAGGTGTTGCTTCTTCCCTTATTTCCAATTTTCTTTTTGTTTTAGGACAGATTTTTTTTTCTCATTTTCAAGTTTAATTTTTAAACATGTGAAAGGTCCCCTTGGTTGGTATTCTCACAGGATGAACTTCTTAGAATGAAAGCAAATGGTAATTCAACAAATCCTAATGGAGCTTATTCAACGGGATGGAATGCCCGTAGAAGCTTGAATCTCCTTAAACTGAGTCTTAACCGTCCAATGACTGTTGAAGAGGATAGTGATGAGGAGATGGAGATTGACGAGGAAGCTGTTGAGAGACTTTGCATTCAAGTTGGTCTTCAGTCTGCAGGTTGTGAAGAAAACATTAGTCAAGACAAGAAGCTGCAAACTTTCCAGTCAAATTCTCAACTTGAATCTTCCGATGAACAAGCTTGCAGAGAAATCCAGTCAAATTCTCAACTTGAATCTTCCGATGAACAAGCTTGCAGAGAAATCCAGCCCAGTGAAGTACCTGGATGTGTCAGTGATCATGCATCTGAGGAAGCTGATGTTAACATGGAAGACTGTCATGTTGAAGAAATAGCATTGGAAGAGACTGGTAAGAATGAAATAGGTATTGATGTTCTTGGTGGTGAACCTGTTCCTGATGCTCCACAATTTTCTAGTCCTGATGGTCTAAACCATCAAAATCATGCTGAGGAAAATGACAAGGAAGGGAATATGGTTGATAGAAATACTAACTTAGTTGATGTGAGCTCTTCAGAGAATCCCGTTGAGGAGAAATTTCCTATGCCCTCAGTCAATAATTCCCCTGCTGAAGGTTCCCAACAGAAACCTGTTGAAGTTGAACCCTCCGCTTTGCCAGATAGTGAAGGTTCAGTGAGCATTACAGTTGCAGATCCGCATTATAATTCTTCCACTAGCTCTCAAAATTCTGTGCCTCCTTCTAACCTTTGCATAGTACCTTATGATGTGTCTCCAGTGCTTCAATCACCCACTTTGAGTGTCTCTCCAAGAGTCATCAGTAACAGCAGGAAAAGTCTTAGGACATCTTCAATGTTGTCAGCATCTCAAAAAGAAATACAAGAAGAAAGCAATTCTGGTCCAAAGGCTCTACATCTGTCTTTTGCACGTTCCTTGAAAAGTGATACTGTAAATTCTTCAAGTACTCAAACAAGCAAGAATTCCCTTACACCAACAGAACACTTGGCTGCAAGTCTCCGACGTGGTCTAGAAATTATTGATAGCCACCGGCAGAGTTCGGCTTTGAGGCACTCCACATTCAGGTTTACATTTAAGCCTTCTTTGCAAATTGACAAGGTTGATGCTGGTATACAAACTCTACCTCAAGATTCTGAGGCACTACAAGATCCGTCATTTGTATGTAATAAGTGCAAGAAAAGAACACATGAAGGGGAGTTGAAAGAAGGCAATGATTTCTCAGATATGCAATTGGTACCATTTGATGGATCACTGTCCAATGAGAAATCTAAGAAGCAAGTTCCTAAGGTATGCCAAATAATGCCAGCATTATATGAGTATTCATTGTTGTTTCATCATCTATATATGAGTTTTTAATATTTCTGTTTTGATGCAGGCAGTGGAAAAGGTCTTAGCTGGAGCAATCAGACGAGAAATGGCACTCGAAGAATATTGTGCCAAGCAAACTGCTGAAATTATGCAGCTGAACCGTCTGGTTGGTGTATTTTAGATTTCAATTCTTGATGGTAAATATCTATTTGTTTCTTTCAATATGACTTTTAGTTTTGTCTCCATTGACAGGTCCAGCAATACAAGCATGAGAGGGAATGCAATGCCATCATAGAACAAACACGGGAGGATAAGATTTTTCGCCTTGAGAGCCTCATGGATGGAATTTTACCCACTGAGGAGTTCATGGAGGAAGAATTAGTATCTCTTTCACATGAGCACAAGGTAGGTTAGGATTTTCCAACTAATATGTGTTGATATTTATCCTATTCTTATCTCCTTATGTCTATTTAATTGCCCTATTCATATTATTATTGTTTGGTATGTACAGCTTCTGCAAGAGAAATATGAAAACCATCCTGAGGTTTTGAGGGCAAAAATTGAGTTAAAAAGGGTTCAAGAAGAGTTGGATGGGTATAGAAACTTCTTTGATTTGGGTGAAAGGGATGTCTTGTTGGAAGAGATTCAAAATTTAAGAAGCCAGCTACAATACTATTTGGATTCATCGTCATCCATATCAGCTCGAAAACGAAGTCCTTTGCTGCAGTTGACCTATTCATGTGAGCCCAGTTCAGCACCTTTGTGTGCAATTCCCAAGTCAATTGAAGAAAGTGCTGGTGAGAAATCTGACCAGGGGACTCATCCTCCTCCATGCACTCCTCAGTCCAATGAGGAAAGTGCAGAGGAGAAATTTGAACAAGAGAGACAACGTTGGACCGAGGCAGAGAGCAAATGGATTTCTCTTTCTGAAGAATTACGGATGGAACTGGAAGCTAGCCGCTCTCTTGCAGAGAAAAGGAAGCAGGAACTTGATTCTGAGAAGAAATGCTCAGAAGAGCTGAAAGAAGCAATGCAGATGGCAATGCAGGGACATGCACGTATTCTTGAACAGTATGCAGAACTTCAAGAAAAGCATCTTGCATTGCTTGCAAGACATCGTATGATCCAAGAAGGAATAGAAGATGTTAAAAAAGCAGCTGCAAAAGCTGGAGTCAAGGGTGCTGAATCTAAGTTCATCAACTCCCTTGCTGCAGAAATTTCAGCACTAAAAGTTGAAAGAGAAAAGGAGAGGCGGTATTTAAGGGATGAGAATAAAGGCCTTCAAGCTCAACTAAGGGATACAGCTGAAGCTGTACAGGCTGCTGGTGAACTACTTGTGCGGCTTAAGGAAGCAGAAGAAGCAGTAGCCACTGCCCAGGTGTGTAAATTGGATTTGGTTTCTGTTAATCTCTTTGTTTTCCCATTTCTCCTTGTGTGTGTGTGTACATGACCATCCAAGTGTGCTCTCTGTGTTATATGGAGTTTAGATCTCTGATTTGTGCATGCCCAAGGTTTGAATTTTCATTTTCTCATACATTTTCAAATCTAACCTTGTACACCCAAGCCAACCTTCGAAGGATGTCAATTTAGGTGCCCTGGCAGCCAAAAACCCAAGGTTCAAAGTTTCAATACGCCCGTGTATCGGCAGAGGTGTATCGGTACTAAAAACCTTGCATTTTTTTAGTTTATATTCATTAAAGAAAGAGGGTTAAATAGGTGATACGCCTGAAAGGTGTAGTTATCGAAATTTTGATCCTTGCAAATACCAAAGCTTAAGTTTTCCTTTAATGGTTCTTTATACCTGACCTGAGCAGCGATTTAAAAGGTGCACACCTGGTGTGCACCTTGTGCCTTAGCCCAGGTGTGCGCGCCTTTTGAAAATTTGCTGCTTTTTTCCTTTTTTTGAGTCTAGCGGTTGGGCCCTTTTGAAAATTTGCTGCTTTTTTCCTTTTCTTGAGTTTGGCGGCTGGGCCGGGGGCAGAGCCCTCGGATCCCCGTGCCACGCCCCTCAATGCCAGCCCAAACAAGTCCATGTTAGGGTCTTAAATTCTTAGTTTTAATTGCTTTTAAGAAGATATTTTATTAGGATGAATGAATGGACAACATTACCAAATAGGGGGTTCTCGAAGCTTTGGTGAGCGAGCGAAGCAAGTGAAGGCGGCTCATAGAATTAGGAATGTAATATGTCACATTAGCTACTTGATGCAATTGACAAAAAAAGAGATTGTGGGTTTTATATGCTTGAAAATGTTTTATATGTTTTATTTCATTTTTAAATTCTCATTTGAATATGCTTTACATATTATGTTTATGTATTTTAATTTTAGATAATAGGTTTTTAAAACATTTATTTTAAAATTTAAGTTTATATTTTTATTAATATTATGTTTTATAATTTTTTTAGATTTTTTTTGCATTTTTTGAATTTTTAGCTATTTTTTTTTAAACTGTGCGCCTTGCCTCAAAAAGGTGTGTGCCTCGCCTTGCGCCCAAAATGGCCCTTGCACCTTTTTTGCGCCTTGCGCGCTTTTAAAACACTGGACCTGAGTCAATTCCTTGATTTTCCTGAGTTGAGGACTACTCCCACTCTTGTATTGTGAAATAATAAGTCATGGTGATCACTACAAAACATATATGGCCCTTCCAAATCAAGTGATTGTGCCTCAAATAATATATTTTTTTTCATACACTTTTGTATTTGATTTATAATGTGTGATTAGGAGAGTGAAGGAACTTATTGTCAAGACAAAACACAATTGGACTACACTACCAGAATCTCTATTCAGTGTTATAGGAGAGTGAAGGAACTTAACTGAATAGAGATTCTGGTAGTGTAGTCCAATATATTATATTTTGTCTTGACAATAAGTT